TTTTTAAAGGCCGAGAAAATTGTGTTCAACATTGAGGCCCGACTTAATGGCATACCGGCCCGTAATGAGAAGAATCTACCGAAAGGCGTTCCCCTGTCGGTCGAGGGTCAGGTCGACTCCATTATCAAAGTATTTGAATGAGTGGTGTGTTTGAGATAATTGTTTAAATGTATTGTTTTTTCTGTTTCTATAGGAAGCGACGGATGTTAACAATTTGGGGGTTATGTACGTCGGGTGGACGGCATACCTATAGGATAGACATATCATTGTTTTGTATTTATTCAATCAAATTGTGTTCAAATATTTTGTATTTAATTAATTTGTGTTTAAATTATTTTTCTACGACTTTCTCAATAATTTTGTGACCATCCGTTTTTCTATTCAGAGTTTATAAGTGATAATCGTTTTGTAATTAACACAATAAATGTATTATGAATTACCTGTAAATATACGATTCAATCATTTCGATGATTGCCTACCGTTTCATCTTAAAATGCAATATATTTATGACAAATAAGAGTCAATATTACAGTGAATAACAGTTGTTAAGAAGACTGGAGATAACAATTAATATCAACGTTATATTATAATTATACTTTAACTATTTACCATTAAATACTAAATAATCTAAGTAGCATGCTCTCATTTTATCAAATAGATATTGATAATTCTGATAATACAGTATTTTTCTACATAATATTACCAACAATTTGCAATAATAAAAGTAACCGAATGGCCATTATTAGTATTTTATATTTAACAATCATTAGGATCGGACATAAGAATTTGCTTATATTTTTACATTATATGTTATACAAGTTAATCGCTGTGATTATGAGTTGAAAAGTTAATAAATTGTAAGTCATAACATAACGTAAAAATATAAGCAAATTCTTATGTCCGATCCTAATGATTGTTAAATATAAAATACTAATAATGGCCATTCGGTTACTTTTATTATTGCAAATTGTTGGTAATATTATGTAGAAAAATACTGTATTATCAGAATTATCAATATCTATTTGATAAAATGAGAGCATGCTACTAAGTATTATTATGCGTATTATATACTGTACGAATTTGTGTGATTGCTTAGTGTAATAAATTAAATTACTATATCTTTATGACGAGAAAGCAATTCATTTAACTCAGGCTTAGAGTGTGGTTATTAACAGTTAAACACCACATTTAATTGTATTTTGAAATTCAATACTCATTTGTGTTTTTCAGTTAGTGTTTATAATTTCAATAACAATCAAGTAACAATAATACAAAGTGTTCAATCAAAAGTAACTCTCAAAACGTTTTTTTCAACTCAATTCGTCAATTTCATTATTCATATAATGTGAACGTTTTCAAGTATTCATACGAAAAGTTATCTATTAGAAAATGAATTTAAATAGTTTTCAAAGCACAACTATATTCACATCAGTCATATTGACAGTCATATTATTCTCATCCATAAGTAAATCTCAGGATCTAAATCATGGGCCGGTGCGCTCAGGACAGGGTATGTATGACTTTGGCTTTAAATCACATTTTGTGGATTAATATTCAATCATTGAATCCATTAGTAAATTATAGTATCCATTGAAACAAAAATTTGTAAAATAAGTTACTGTTAGCCTAACGTCGATAGCAATGTACTTCTCATAAGCATTCATAACTCGCGATAACTTTTTAACTGTAAATAAGTTATCCATTGAATGAACAGTTGTTTGCTTTTCTCGTACTCCATATCCAATACCTTTACAAAACTTAGGCTTACTTTTTCATTTTAACTATAAATCTTTGATTGGATTAAACTTTCATTATATATAATGTTATATTTTTGTATAATTAATTTTTTTGGCTGAGTATAGCGCCTATATTTATACCGGGAAATGCGAGACCAGTGCCACCAGTCGGCCCCCAAATACTGGGCGATATGATCCAATTCCGACAGGAGCTCATGTACCCGTACAACCTGAGCGACTTAACGAAGATAACATCAGACAAACCCCTACACGACCAGCCCCTGCCATTCCGACTGCCATTCTTTGGCTTCTGGTATCACTATATTTGGGTAAATGACTCCTCATTTCAATGTCTTTTGCATTCAATTCTTCGATAATTACTCGGTTTTGTTGTCACGAATAGTGAGAAACATAAGCAAAATATATACATAATTAGAAAAACTTTCGCAACAATTATGTGATCACATAATATTAGACACATTTAAGCGCTTCTGAAGATCAATGATCCCTCTCATGGCTTAAAGTCATAGCAATTAGAGTTAGACATCGAATACCTACAGAGCGTTCACTCATTGCTCCTAAACTTGAATCCCACTCTAAAATGAGCCAAATATTGAACGCAATCATTGTTTTGATGGTTGAGTTCATTATCACAGAAACAAAGCGATTCACAAATTTGCCAATTCATGGGATTAAGCATATCGTTGACTCCAATACACGAAATTAAATCGTAACACGAGTTTTCAATTACATAATTCATTCACAGATCCAAAGGGACGGCTACCTGGCCTTCAATAAGGGTTTACTGTCGTACAAGTTTCCCGTGAAGTTCCCGTTCGTACCCAAGGATAACCTCATGAAGGAGGACCCCTCGATGATCGCCCCCTGGTTTGCACAGCAGGACATACCTACGGAAGTGCCGCACGCGGGCGTCTACTTAAAGATCGTAAACCTCGAGTCGGAGCTCAATATCACGTTAAGAGATCGCATATACTATGACTTCCGGGAGGGTATGATCGGTGCCTCCGATTTCAAG